TGGTTCTCAGGGTGAGTTGATGTGTCTTTCCATCAACGTACGTAATGGTAAGAGGCAGATCAATAACTTAATTGCTTAAGGAAATAGCGTGGGAAGTATTTCTGTTTCTGGCAATGCTTTAGAGCATTAGAACTATGGTCCTTGAGAAAAAAAAACATACTTTTCTGTCCTTCCTCATCGAAATTCGGTCTGTGATATTTCAATTCTTAATCATGCCTTTTTTTGTCATTTCAATTGGTCATGAAAAGTTCTGTCAGCCATTAGAAATATGAATTAATAATAAATAAATCCCAACGTCAAACTTGCTAGTGCCATCTGGATATATCATAATGTATAAGTTAAGTCAAACATTATGTGAAGTTCATGACTGTAAACATCTCAGCTCTATAGAACCCTTTCAAGCCATCCTCTCTGAAAAATAGCTTTTGTGGGGGCTTGAATTCAGAAACAGTTATCATCTCTCATTATATTGAAAGAGTTGTAACAGATCTGTGATACAGAAAAATATCTGGTGGAAGAAAAGAGGGGGAATGTGTCTGGCTCTGAGTTGAAATCTTGTTTGTAGCATGCCTGTGAAGTTAGTCCGCATGCCCAGCTGCCATGCTGACGCGATCGATCTTAAGGGTTCAAAAAGAAAATTCTGGGAGAATCTGTACAATTAATATCTCTCAAATTGAGGATTTTTGCACAGCAGATCATATCAGCTTTGAAGATTGGGTCTATATGATAACATAACTAAGTGTAAAGTGAAAAATTTAGAAAACCTTCTAGATAATGGAGTTACATCATTTCAGGTATATAGAAATTTAGAGAGACCATATAGCCTGAGGCCAGCAGTGCCCACTATAACAAATTTTTCTTAAAAGCTGACCACATTACCAAATCCTGTTAAGGGGCTACTCTCCTTGTGTGACACCTAGAGGCTTCCTGGACACATTTGCTGTTCCTCATTTGCCCACTCCAAGGAATCCTCTCTGACCTCTGGGGTTGAAATATCAAGCTGAACCTTTCAGAATTTATCATCAGCCTGGCATCTGTGCTCAGCAGTAGAGCCTTTGAATTCAAAACAGGACTGTTTCCTGGCTCAGAACTCCAGCTCCAAATTCCTTAGGCTCAAAACTGATGGAAAAACAGATCTCCAGCATTCTTCTGATTTAGAAATCATTCAAACTGACAACGGATAAGAAATTGACAAGGAGATACGAAATCCTTAATTTACATAGCTGTCTCTTCTTTCCTTTTACATAGTAAAGAACAGAGCGTCCTTAACCTTGATTTTCTCACTTGTCTCAGTTTAAAGCACAGCCCATAACATTAATTAAAGTGTGTGTGAGCTGGAGGGTGCAAGTTATATTTCATATGCTCTGCCACATGGCATTCTAGAAGAGCTATACAATTTTTAGGTGTGCTTTTTTCCCCAGCTTGATATGCATGCAGCCCTATGTGCCACACAGAAACTCCACAATAACAACTTAAAAATGAATGCAGTGGCTAGAACAAATGCTGGGGGGCACTGGTGGCTTCAATATTTAGGTAGATGTATGTGCAAATCTGACTCAGAGCTACAGAGTGCTGGTGCTGGAAAGGGCATCTGAGATTGTTTAGTGCAACCATTTTATTTTACAGGTAAGGCCTGCAGAAGGTAGGCAGCTACAGAAGGTAGGTTAAACAACTAGTAGGGGATAACCCCAAGTATTTACAATTCCATCTTTCCACTACACTACACAGAGTCACAAGATTCTTTGATATATTGATGTAAGTTAGACCTTTCCCAGCAAAGAAAAGATCATATGCATATATGCACTCACAAATGTGTGCATATAATTCCGGAGGTTCAGAGAGCCCCTGAAGCTTATCTCAGGATGTCTAACTTGTCCACATCCTCAGGTTAAGAACTCCTGCACTGAAAGAAGTAGCTTTTCTAAGTAGAAAGTGCTACTGTGCACCCCTTTCAAAACTTAACTCATCTAGAACATAAACTAGATTTAATGGCATAACCTATAAAATTCAGGGGAAAAGCAATTCCAACAACTCAAATAGATGAATTAAGCCCTAATCAATATTTCCATATATTTAACATGTGTCAAGTAAAAAAATATGCATAAGAGAAATTAAAACCTGCATGTATTTTACTACCGATTGCACATTTAGGCATAGCATATCTTTTCTCCTAATATGGAGATGGCTCAGCAGTACTTAAATGATTCCTTATTCCAAGTCAGATAAATATGCACCAGATGTATCTTTTGTAAATGTTATGTTTTTCAACTTCCCAGCATTTCCAAGTAGTTGAAAGCTATGTCAAGCATGCTTTAATGGTGCATAAAAGTGTATTGTATTCAAAGAGATGGCACAGCTCTGTAATAGGTGAAAAATACTAATGTTGTCAATGGATACATTTTCATTTTATTGATTTACACTGCATAATAGAGTGCCCTCTATTCTTCTTTACCCAAGTCTTGAATCAATTGAAATATAACAAGGTATTTAAAAATCATGCTTACATTAATGGATTTCTAGATGACAGAAAATTCAAAACACATAATTTTATGACTAGAAGGCAACTCAAAGATCAACTCAGTCCCATACCCTAATTTAACAGATGAGAAAACTGAAAGCAAAAGGGTTCCATGAAGCAACCAAGCCACTAAACTAGTGGGACTTAGTGCACATGGCTTTATATACCCCTCAATATAAGGCGCTTTACTGGGCTCTTCACACCATCTGCCTCTTGAATACCCAAACAAAAAAATAGAAGAAACAGTGAACATATATCATTTATTGACCTCCTGGGCCTTATGAGGAAGAAGCAGATGTGATCTATATTTTATAAACTGTCAAATTATTTTATGGGAAGTAAATAAAGGAAGAAAATGCCAATTGCTGGCATTAAAAACTGTCAGAGAATATCACAATTCTATTTCTCCAATAGAAAATTCTAATAGATTCAACACTAGCTTTTTTATTTTTTAACACAAACGATATCACAGTAAATTCCTCTCAGAACATTTTTTCCTAAGGTTAAATATTAGGGGATATATTTGAGTCATGTAATTAATAGTTCATCTTGAAAACAGTCTTTTTAAATAAAAGTTAACATAGCTTGGTAGTTATTGTGAAACTCTTGTTTTTTAAAGTTTTTTATTTCTTTGCTATGGAGAAAGCAAGTACCACCGCGTGTCATCTTACACAACTTTGTACCACCTTCAAGCAGAGTGTAGCATTTGAGGAGATACATCAATTTATGCTGACTTTACCCTGGCACATTTTCCCACCTTAGTTTCTTTCTTTCTGTCATGTATTTTTATAACCTTCCTCAAATCCTTTCTTGAAATCAGGCAGAAAATTAATTAATAACTAATTAATTAATTGGTGAAAGTCATTTGTGAAAGCCAAGTAACCTTTTCACTTTGACCTTTACAGTACATTTCTTTTTCCCTTTGGGGGCCACTGGAGGCAATGAAGATTTCATTTAGAATGAAATCATTATTGAGGTTTTGTTCCCCCTTTATGTCACTGTGGCTGTGAGTGGAGCACCAGTGTTTCTCAAAGTTCCACGGCTGACTATATTTCCTCTTAGACCAAACAAAACCACATCTTTTCCCACTAGCCAGGAACCAGCATTTGCCCAGGGTCAGTGTATGGGAAAGCGGTGCCCAGATTCACAGCAGCCCCCAGCGGAGTGCCCAGACTCTAGCCTCAGTGATTTATCCTGAGCTCCCCTGAAACAGCTCCACTGTCTCCCGAAGGAGGCCAGGTAAAGAGGTTTAAGACCGTGGCCTGTGCCTGCAAGAAGTCCACACAGTCCCTTCAAAGGTGTGCACGGGCTGAGCAAAGGGAGGAGAGAACCAACCAAAGCAGCCACACAGGCTCTCCCATGAGCCTGGAAGCAAGGATAGTCTCTGGAGTCCATAGTTAACATCATGCTTAGGGGATGGTACTCCCATTAAGAGGCTCTTTTCTTCCCCAGGGTGCTTATATACAGAGAAACCGACACAATTACTATCTGTATATTCAGCACAAGAATTTATAGATAAACATACATGCACCTTCTGAGACCCTTATAGTAACTTGCAGGTAATATCATACTTTGGTGTAAATGCACAATCCCAACCAAACTGTAAGAATCATTTCAGGTTAATATGTTGAGCCTTATTCTGTGCTTATTATCATGTAGGGCTGGGAGATGTGGCTGACTGTGATATTTCAATTCTTAATCATGCCTTTTTTTGTCATTTCAATTGGTCATGAAAAGTTCTGTCAGCCATTAGAAATACGAATTAATAATAAATAAATCCCAACGTCAAACTTGCTCGTGCCATCTGGATATATTGTAATGTATAAGTTAAGTCAAACATTATGTGAAGTTCATGACTGTAAACATCTCAGCTCTATAGAACCCTTTCAAGCCATCCTCTCTGAAAAATAGTTTTTGTGGGGGCTTGAATTCAGGAACAGTTATCATCTCTCGTTATATTTAAAGAGTTGTAACATCTGTGATATAGAAAAATATCTGGTGGAAGAGCCTTAGAGCTTTTTACCTTCCTTGTCTTGATGTGAGCCTGGTGGGGGCGCTGCACTCACAAATGTCACAGATCTCTGCAAGCTCACACAAGGGTGTCCTAAAAGGGAGACATCTGGGAAATCTCAGAATAGCAGAGGACCTCCAGAATTTGGGGGTAAAGAGTAACGCATTGCTGTTAAAAGAACACGGTCTGTAAGAGACATGACCGAATTTCAAAACCAGGTACCCTGGGCAGATGACTTAACCCATAGACGTCTAGGAGGCTCATCTGTCAAAACTGGATACAAACTGTACTTCAAAGGGCATTTAGAGGCTTAAATAGGACAATGCACACAAGGTGCCTGTTTCAACACCTGGTGTATGGAAGTCCTTCATAAAATTTGGTCATTTTTACTTTGCTGTCATTGTTGCTATGGAAATTCTCTTTGAGTCATTATGCTTGGAAATAAGAAAAGATTTGCTTAGCAGAGCTCACCTTTTCTCTTCTTCGCACACTCGGAGACTGAGCACAGGCTGCTGAATTCTGAGGGACCATTCTCTCCCCTGCACATCGGTACAGTTCAAAAGGAAAGAGAGGACAGAGTGCCCAGTGCCCAGGCTATAGGCCCCCCGCCCCCTGTCTGCCCCGGGTCTAGAGTCCAGCGTCTGCGTCTTTGAGTGCAGCTCCTGCTTCCAGGGCAGAGTCCAGGCTGAGACTGGCAAGGACATCTACAGAAGGAGCCAGTGGAAAATCGCATAGGTGGACCCTCTCCCTGGCTCCCCTCCTAGTTTATTGTGAGGGCGATGGAATCCTTTCTGCTTCAGTTCCCTGAGGCAAGAAGGGGAAATCCCATCAAGCCTGAAGCCATTGATAAGGCTGTGTCTGCTGGGGGCTTGGGGCTGGGGGACGTCCATACTAAACAAACTCGCCCACCTCAAGTGGACCTGTCCGATCCCAGGACGCATTCTCTGTGAAGCACACGCCTACAGTGAACTGACTGCCAACGAAGGTGGGCAAAAGGGTTTTTTCTTCCCAACATCACCTACCCCCTGCTACCCCACTCCTCCCCTCTAACTTTTTCTCCCATGTCTTGGAGCCCAAGTCAGTACTTTGTCAGTCCTGCTGTCCAGACCTATAATGTCTTTAAAGCAGAGGCTTGCTTGGTATAAGGAAATTGAAAAATAGACAACAAATCTGTACCAGAGACTTAATGCACCTATGCCTTAGGAAAATGTACACAAAACTATTTTTCCCTCTCCACAAAAACTAGTTAAGCTGTCACCCAATGCCATTGGATTTAGTAAGACTGGAAGCCGGGGTCAGCTCACTGATGCAGCCAATGCTGGGCCTGCGGTGACTTCTAAGGCCCAGAGTGCAGAGCGGATGAGCGGCTGGGGCCTGGACTTTCTATGAGCTGAGCAACCTGCTCTAACTTGTATGCGTCAGCTGCCCACCACCCATGCACGCGCGCACACACACACACACACACACACACACACACACACACACAAACACACACAATGTTGGCGCTGGGCCTGATGGGCTGGGACTGTTTAAGACAGGAGTGAGCTTTGTGTGGCCTGAGGAAGGGAAAAAGGATAAAGATATGGTCCTGCCCGTACTCTTTGAAGGGTTATTTGTGTTCCTACAATTTATTTATTGTTGTCCACAGATTTCTACTCCCAGGGCACCTCATCACACTGAGTCCAGAGCCTCACAGGTGACCTTTACTTCCAGCCAACACAATGGCTGCTAATGTATCCAATTCACCAAAGTCAGTATTGGAACACAGCATTATTTTCAAGATGCTTTTATATTTATTATAAGGACTTTATTTTTTAATCGTGTCAAAACTGTTTTGATGTCTTGCAGTTTTTTTTTTTCTTTTTTGCTTTCTTTAAGGGCTCTGCATTTTGGGTGAAGGGCAGATAATCATAGCCAGTCCTGATTGGCCAACATCTGTTTCTTTATAGGAACCTTTCTTGCCAAGTAGCTGGACAGCAATACCCATTTGGTATTCATGGAAAGTACTTGCCGAACAATAATGACAATAATTGCCTCTGATTCTTGTGTTTACAACACTGCCAAAGTATCATTAGGGCCTTATTTATAGATAATAATGCTTATTAATCACAAGTATTTGAATTTTGGAATGTATTAGATTAATATTCTTTTGTACCTCAGTTCTGTACTAATGCTGTGAAAGACATTTACTGAATAAAACTCATTGGGAATGCTTATTTTGAGCTGCAAAATAATGTGTGTAATTTGCAGGTGAAAGATAAAGAAATTACATGGCTACCTCTCAACAGCTTCCACCACGATCAATGGCCAACATGGAGAATTAGGCCCTCACTCTAAAATGAGAAAGGAAAGAAGCAAAATAAATATCCCTATAGGTATCATTTCCAAAATAATCTTGTACATTTTTATGACAGAATTTCCTAATAATAAGCCATAAGTCTACTATCTTGTTTTGCCATAAATCTTCAGTGGATGGCATGGCTTTATTGAAAAAGGTCTGGGGTGAGGAATAATTAGTGATTCTGTGACAACTGCACATTTTCTAAGTTCTTGGAGGCTCCAGAGAACAAAATAGCAAAAAACTAATAGTTGTAACAATATCAGGTCTAACTGGCCAGTTGTTAAACATCTTTCATTCATGTATTCATTAATTATTTCTATTTGTTTAATTTATGTGCAAGCAAGCATTGATGCTAGCAAGTATTTCTCTATTTTATGCTCATCTAGATAGGAATAATTAAAAATTTCAAAAGATTATTATACTTTTTCTAAGATTAATACAAAAAGCAATTTCTGTTGGTCTAATAAAATGAATTTAAAAATAAATATAAGGCATTACTAGCCCTTAGTTCTTACCTGGCCATTCCCTCCTGAAATCATGCCAAATATGAAATTAGCAATATTTTCTTTTTATCTAGCACACATCTTTATTTGTTCTTGGAGTCTTCATGCTTTATGCATTAGAACAATACTTCGTCTTCTTTAATTGGATGAATGCAAATGTGGTGATATGATTTTCCAGAAATTTTTGAGAAAGCAAAGCTTATTAATATAGATTCTAGGTGCTGCTTTAAAAATAATATTTGCAACTAGACATGTTTCTTTAAATGGCCTGTAATTAATGTTTACTAATGTTCTGTAGGCGAAACCCAAATCTTATCCTATTTTACCAAAGAGTACTTTAAAATATTTTATGGGCATAATAATTATCAGCTACCGTCCAGGTTGTCTTCTCTCATTCCCTCGATTTTTGTCCCCTACAGAAAGTAAAGGGACCGAACGTTTCATTCACCAAATTACAGTCAGAAAATTGTCCTCCCTAAATGTGCTCAGCAAATGTTTCCAAGTCAGAGCATTACAAGGAGACTAAGATTCAGATTCATTCGATGTATAATGTTAACATTTGAATCCATTGCTAAATGTAAACAACTTTAACGATCCAGTTGGACTATTTAACATTAATTTAAAGTAAAATCTGTGTGCGTGTCTCCTCTCATGGGGCTAAGTAGAAAGGTGAACAATTATCTAATAATTTCAATCAATATATTCAGCCAAACCTGGCAAGTCAGGCTCCTCAACTTTTTTCATTTAAACCTGGTAAATATCTCAACTGGTGGTCTATTCAGGTGTATATTCCATCTCTCATAACATTGGTAGAAGAATCAACAGTATTTTATAGAATTATTTGCTATCTTACAAATGCAGTCACTACAGATAGCCAATCTGGATAGTTCAAATTTCTCTAAGTCTTTGTTTTTTTCTTAATAGCTAGATGGTATGGAGAGCAGAAATGCCTGAGTTCTCAGAATTAATTCAAGTCTTTGATTTATTTTGCCTTCAGCAGACATTGCTTTGTTCTTTCCTTAAAAGTCACTGGTGGCTGGGTGAGGATAGAAAATAAATGTTTTAAGAGAGACAGAAGTATCTCACCTTGATGTGTGCCATTGATAATGTCTAAACATTGAGGCTGATCCCTGAAATCCCCCTCGGGTGGCTCTCTGAACCTCACTAAATTAGCCTCACTCAACTGCTTGAGGACTTGAGAGAGAAAGTGAGAGAGAAAAAGGGAGGAAGGAAGAAAATAGTTAATCTGTGAAGTTGGAGTTTAAATTTGAGGGTATTGAAAAGATAATTCACTATGAAAAAATGGTTTGACATAAGAACCTGTACTCCACCAACATCCCTATCAGTTTCTATAGAGCCTACTTGGATATGAAACTTGAGATCTGTCAACATTTTATGGTTGCCCTAAGTTAATAAGCGTTTTTCCTTCTTTTCTTTAACTGCCAAATATTTTGACGAAATTTAATTTTGGATGCCTACCTTCTGCAGAGTTTTATTTGCTATATTATAGTTCTGTCTGCTTTTAGGCCATAGCATGCCAAAGTATTTACCCTTACAAATCTTCCTATAAGTGCAACTTGAGCCTACTAAAATAATAGTCCCTTACCCACTTCATTAATTAAATCAACAGAAAAGATTATTTTACGTTTTTATAGTGAATGACTCTCAGCCCAAGTTTTTGAATGAATGTTGTTCATTTTTAAATCATTATATGGCCTATCCTCCTTGTATTATACCACATCGTCAGATAGAAAACTTTATAAAATAAAAGACTAACTTATTTTTGTGGTTGATTTTAAATCCCATCTAGAGTAAAGTTTTTAGCTCTTTCCAAGTAATGTTCTTTTTTTTTTTTAATTTTTCACTTCTGGTATTTTGATCATTTTAACTTCAAACTTTTTAAAAGATTATGAAACAGACTTCAAAAAGCAGTTGGGCTAATCTGATTTTTATTTTCAAAAACTCATCACTAGTATTTAGACACCACTGTTGAGTCATCAGTCTTTGAAATACTCTCTCTGAAATAAATAAACAATAAATTACATGTGGGAATAAATGCTATCATAAACATCGTATATGTTTTTCAGTAAAAAAATATACACATACACAAACATAGAAAAGTCAACAAAATATTTTATAATATCAGTAAAACTTACTCTCGTTACTTGAGTGATCTCCTACTATCATGGACTTCAAGGAAATTTCAAAGCTACATCTTTTTTATTCCTTTTTCATCTAGGACAAATAGCTTTTAAAGTATAACATTTAGGTATAACATTTCCTTACATTTTTTCAGCACAAATGAGCATTTGGATTCTTGCCAATGTATTCATCTTAATGGTAGCCCTTATTTTAACCAAAAAAATAAAAAACCTTTGAAAATGTAAAGAATCAAAATACTAAGAACCAGAAAATAAGTAAAATGTCACCCCATATCACACAAATCATTTCAAGTATAAATATATGCTTCAAATTTGAATTTGTGTCAACATTTTGAATTATCACTAGACTACTGAATGTCTTTTAATGATATAAAGGCCCATAAAATTCAACTACTGAAAAATGTTTTCTTTACAGTAGAGTGGAAAATAAAACCAATGCTAGGAATTTAATTTTTTGTGTGTCTGGAATTTAATTTTGGTTCTGAGATAACATTATTTAATTTGCAAAGGGAAAAAAAGACAAAGAATACCTGAATTTAGATAGAA